ATTTAGCTTCTTGACAATACAATGCAGACAAAAAAAAACATAAAACGGTTTGAAAATGGTCTAATAAGTGGTTCCTACTGTATGCAGAAAGATTTTCCTTCAGCATTGGAATGCATGAATGTTCACGCTAAGCACAGGTTTTTACAATAATAATGCGTTTCTCTTTTTAAAAAAAGTTTGGTTATTATTTGCTTACTTACTTACTTACTTATTATTTATTACAAAATGTCTTTTTATTAATTACATGAAGCGGTACATTTATTAAATGGACGATGTTGACAACAGTAAAGCAAATCCCAGAGAGATGTCTAGCTTTGATATACAACAAATTATTTTGTCGAAAACTAGAACCTGAACTTTGCAAAGCTCCAGAGGTGGGGGAAGGGTGTTGCTAACCTACCATTACAGCGAACATTCAGGGCAGGGGAGAGAGGAAAAAAACAATGAAGTGACATACGGCTTTAAGAAATGATAAATGCAGTTTTTAGAAAAATACCGGGTCTAAAGAAAGCTATTTTCTGACCCATATTCTCAGCAATTGAAAAAAATTTTTTTTTTTAATATCCACGAACATAACATTGTACTTGGCCGATTGCATTAGCCGACTAGCTTTTAATTACCAAAATAAAAACACAACGGCACAGCCAAAAGTTAGGAAAATCTAGAGTTTTCCGCACATTTTTTTAGGTTTTCCCATTACGATGTTAATGTTGTAATATCTCGGTTGTAGCAGTAGTTCGGCAAGTGGAGATTGCACCTGCAGGTGACCTGTTGTCCTTTCCATGTATGTCTGTATGTATCTGTATGTCAGATCTTCTGTACTGAGCAACTTTTTGGCCCCCTCCTTGCGTGCATTAAGCAACTGGAAAATGAAATAAAATAGCAAAACAAAATTATTGATAAATCTTTTTTTTTTTTTTTTGACGTCTTAACTTTTCACTTCACCATACGTTTGCATTAAAACAGTTTCATGCACAATTAGCTTGCTTTATTCAAACTAAATGCTGGAAAATAAAGACAATTTATCTTAGGGTGGGAAAAAAAACACTGGTTGGTGATGGGTTGCTGAGAAGGAGAACTATTGCAACTGCAGGTGCAGAGCTAGATCAAAAATACGATAGGCATTTATTTAAATAAATATAGCTTATAAATAAAGGGGAGGGAAAAAATGAAAAAATGCAGGATTGTACAGTCAAATAAATTAACTAGAGCAGTTGTCCAATTTGTTAATTTTTCATTTCCAGTTAAACTAGGGTGACCATATTTTCATTTGGGAAAACCAGGACACCTTGGAGCGGTTAACAATACGATAGGCATTTATTTAAATAAATATAGCTTATAAATAAAGGGGAGGGAAAAAATTAAAAATTGCAGGATTGTACAGTCAAATAAATTAACTAGAGCAGTTGTCCAATTTGTTAATTTTTCATTTCCAGGTAACCCACAGAAAATGTTTGTTGGGTTAAACAGTACTTTCTGGGGACCTAAAGTGCTTNCTGACGCGGCTCAGGGATTACGTCACACGGAGCGTCGTGCGCAGTGAAATCAGGACATTTCCTCACTTTCTAAAAAAAACCCGGGACGCCCGGGACAGGACGTGAAATACGGATATGTCCCGGGAAATACGGACGTTTGGTCACCCTAGTTAAACCCACAGAAAATGTTTGTTGGGTTAAACAGTACTTTCTGGGAACCTAAAGTGACAATGAAATAGATCCAAATGACCTATCAGTAACCATGTCTGTTCCAGCCCAGATCATTATTAGAATTTCTTTTAAGTATTATGTCTTCAGTACAGGGGCCATAACAGGGGCCAGGACATGATCTACAGGGGCACTGGCCCCAATTGGCCCCTGTCTGGAACCGGCCATTGTGAGGAATGATGACACCGTGGCGAGGTGCACTGTATGCTGAATGAAAAACAGAAAGCACAACCGATGTTCAAGGCTACAAGATTGAAAGTATTGAAAATAAAAGACCAATACTGTTCTGTTTCGTGTTTAAGAAATAACTGCTAGTTAATAAACAGTTGTTGAAAAGTTGCTGGCCTTAAGTGTGTATGGGGCACGGTGTGGGTCTGTTGTCCCTGGGGGGCGGGCGGTTGGGGGATAAGCATCTCCCTAAAATTAGTTTTTGGAACTTGGGATGTTTGGTAATGATGATAGGATAAACCAACCAACCCCTTGATGAATATGATAAAATAACATAACCCCAATAAAAAATTGTTGGTTAATGTTCCATGGTAAAGTTAGTTTAGTAAACACAGGTGCTGCTACCCATAAACTTCATGCTAGCACTAGTGGCTAATGATGATTTTTTTTTTGTAGCCTACACTGAGTGCATCCTCTCTGACAGGATTTCTAATGGTTCATCATTTTGTCATTGGTATCCTTTTTTTATACAATGAATGCACAGTAGTCCAATATTACCCTACAGTATCTGGAAGACTGAATAGATCTGATGAGCAACTTACAATAACTTCTTATGAGGATATAATTGTGATAATATGTGTGATTGACTGTGACCTCTCCCTCTCTCTCTCTCTCTTGCTGTGCTGTGGTGGAGTTTACATTTTACAGTGTTAACAAATTAAGATTTTGGAAGTATTTTAAGTGTCCACTCTCACTAATTTCCATTAACCTGACCTCAAGGTATTGCACAGTTGGTATTGCACAGTTGGTATACACATTCAGTACACCAAAAAAAATGTGGTAGGCCAGTGTAGTCCAAAATGCCAGGGCCGATTTTTTTGTCCCAGTCCACCCCTGGTCCAACTCCATAACCATATAACTCTGCAAATTGCAATGGATTGCAATCATCCTCCGGTAGGAACATTATGGTCTGAGATGCAACAGAACCCAGCGTTTTTTCCACACCATCCAAATGCCTTCATGTTGCAATATATTGAATGGTTCTTCAACTAATAGGATCCACATATAGAAGGTTCACCCACCGGATGACAGAGCCGGCACTAGGGAAAGCCTTTCATATCTCACTACTGTCACTTTTTCAGAGGCTGTACGCTGAGATGAAGGCTTCCCGCTCTCATTAAGCTACGTTTAGCTTCACAATGCTGCAATCTGAGGAAGGCATCAGCACAAGCACAGTATCTCCTATCAGACAAGGCATTTTCTGGGAACATGATACAACATACTGGGAGTTTATTGAGACTTCAGGGTCATTTGGCTCTGGTGGAAAAATGTGAGATCATTCTGTTTTCTTACTCTGCTCTACAAGGCCTCTTAATCACAGAGGCACAAAGAAAGTTACATCTTAATGGTTTTCATTTCCTGTCACGGCTTGTAAGCTTCCCCGCAAAAATATTTACATTGCTTTACCTTTTATTAATATCATATTAATATATTTTTACATTACAACCACAATTTAATGAATGCTTAAAGATTTTACTTGATAGACCATCACAAAATAATATAAATACAGATGATCTTTGAGGGATATTAGTCAACTGTCATATAGAACAAGTAACACGGCAGACAGGCCAATAGTGAAAGAAATATAAAGTTAATCATAATCCACAAATTTGGGCACATCAAAATGTGAAAATCTAACCCTATACATCACCAATAACTGAACTTGTCTTCAACAGGTACCAGAGAGCTGGTTAGAGTTTATGGGGAGTGTTGTTAATTAAATGAAATTAAATTAAATGCAGGTTTCTGGGACAAAAACTACTATAGCAACTTCCAAGACAAAGACTGGGACAGAGGTTAAACTTCCAACAGGACAAAAACACCATCATCCTACAGCCAGATTTATGACTGGAGGGTTAATATAAAAGCATATTCCTTTATTACTATAATATTACCCTGCTATTGAAGATGAACATCATTATTACCAACAGTTTGATCCCATCCTGCGTCCTGCATTCTCAGTCACCTGAAAAAGAGCGGCACTGAACTTAATCTGTTGCATAAGATCTCCATTAAAAGCCAGGATGTTAATAGCTACTTCAGTCCATTTATGTTTCTTCAAAAAGTCACACATAAATATGCAGACACTACGGAATGATCAAAGGTGCACTCAGTTTGTGTCAATTTGGGGTAAGATTTCCAAAAAACTTCTACAAATTTCTACTTTTGAAATTTCACAATTCCAAAGGCTTGTTTTTCTTTTGTATATCACCCTTATTCCAACATCTGGGTGCTTTCCTGTGCCTTACTAAAGAAAATATTGTACTTTTTAAACTATTTGTGACATTTTATATCCTTACAACCATTAATGTATTTTGAATTCTTATAAGACAGAAGACACAAATTTTTGCACAGAGTTGAATTGGAAGGAAAATTGTTGGATTTACAACACTGTTACAGAGAAATTTCAGAAATGTGTTAATCTTTTTCAGCCAGTTTTTATAAAAAACGCTTCTGACCATTTATTATATATGTAAGAATATTTCAATCTAAACCATTCCAATTTAGCGATGGGTGTATGTTAAGGGTTCTTGTTGTGTTGGAAATTGACCTCTGAAAATTTCCAATTGTTTTCCAACATCTAACAGAAAAACTTCCTGGTTTAGCCTCTGTTTAACTTTCTCCATCCTACCCATAAACTATGACCAGGATTCCTGTCCCTGCAGTGAAACAAGGTGTGTATCTAATTGGTCCCTCTCCAGTAAAACTGTTAGGTTCATAATATGCCAACATCATTTACCTGCAGTTTCCTACAACTGTAGCTTGGAAATCTGTTGATCATATCAAGGATCTACCATTAATGAATTAAAAGATCAACTATATTTGTTTTAGAAGTCTAAACGATAAGGATAATAATGCCACAAGTTTTAGAGTGCTTTGCCGAGTAGTTCTTTGTGTAGAAACATTCCTCTTCACACTGAGGCGGCGCACCAGCTGACTGGAAAATACAGGCTGGCGTTGTCATCCGCAGAGTCCCGCTGCTAGAAACATAACTGTTATTCTTCTGTCACAGTTAGTAGATTTCACACTCGCAAAGAAACCTTTATGTAACAAAGCCTTTTATTTTTCAGATTTAAAAATTAACACACTGGTGATCTAACACGGTTATACAGCCTCACAGGAAGGTGAAACAAAAACACTGACACACACCCACACCAACATCATGAGATTTTTGCTTCTTGTCCCTTCCACCATCGCTCATCAAAGACACGCAGCTTCATAGCTTCATGATCAGAAGTAAACAAAGGATACATTCAATAATCTGCTGTACAACATTGCAATACTTACATTGAATTCCCTTTAACCTGAAAATACCATACTTTCCCCCATATTAATTTAGCAATATATCTGATCAAATCTTTCTAAAAAAAATAACACTGAGGGTGTCTTTATACACAGAGGAGGGGGTGAGAGAAATCACACACTAGAAAGAAATTAATAAAATAAAATAAAAACAGAACACATATAACATTTGAAAAGGCAGATTGCGAGCCTTGACACTGTTCCTTTAGTCTTCAGCTTTGCATGGGAGGCCATGGCAACAGATTGATGGTTAGCGAAGACAGGAAGTTGAGGAGCATGAGAGGAGGTTTTCACATCATGTAATCGGCTGCTGTCTATATGAGATTCTGCAGAGAAAACACAAGATGGAGAGAAATGGAAAAAAAATGCAGTTAGACTAACAGGAACATTTGCATACAAATTACACAGAGAACAACGGTAAAGATCAACTCATGAATAATTTTTAAAGTGGTATAATACTGAAGATACTGTGCTACATCATCTCTAAAAAAACAATTTTATTTCTTATCAGAAATTCTTCTTGAGAGAGTAATTATATCAATGTGTAGCACTGATTTAGATCATCACAATTACATGTGATGTGCTGTTTTCGTTTTGCCTGCTGCTCTTCAGGAATGCAAGGCATGTTTTTCATATTTTCTCCAGTTGTCCAATAAGGTAGCAATGAAAAATACCCTCAACCCTTTTTCTTATCACAGTCGAGATAAAAGTAAATTAGCACAGAACAGAATTCAGTTATTCTTAACTGTAATTTCTTTATACCTTTTGAAAATTATTTAATGTAGCATCAGACACAAAAATAAAATATATATTTGTCAAAATTCTTCATTATTTTTAGTGCAAAATATTACAAAGTCAATCAATCTGGATAAAGGAAATCTTTAAACATCCACTTAAAAGTTAGAAATAGACTTGCATTATTCCGGTAAGAACATTTGCATACAAATTCCGGTTACGGTAAGACATGCTAAAACGTCTTCAAATTTTGGAATTTTTACGGAATGACTATGACCTGGATGACTGAGAACCTTCATCAGCATAGCATGTCTTAGTTTTCCTATCAGCGCTACTCTGTAGTTCCTCCAGAGTTATCAGGCTGCTTCTCTAATTATTACAGCTCTCCTTGCCTTGCTTGACGTGACTCATGACGTTGCTCCCTGCTCCATCTGTTGCACTGGCAATCAGGTCTCAGTGGTTACACCTACATAATTACCAAGGCTATGAGATGTACTAGCTCTCCCAGTGATAACTGCCAGATTCTTAAAAGCCTTTAACCACATCTAACAAGACATGGAAAAGAGGGGAGGATGGGGAATTCCCAGCTCCTAAGAAGGTCAGTGACCTTCATTCAGTGCACCCTCTAGACCTCTGAGTTGTTATTGGTCATTGACCCTGTTCTTCTCCCCACAGTGATTCCACTGCCAGTCAGTACGTACAACACAAATGAAACTTTTTATAAAGCCATTAAATGCTTACTACTGGTGCTAACTGATTTGGGGTCTCCACAATAAGTCCAGGCATTGCCACATGTTCATAAATTTCTCAACGATGTCATACCAATGGCCATCTTGTTTATACATTCTACATAATTTATCCTACATATGCAATGGAGAAGGTTTAGAGTTGGATAAAAATTAAGTCAGCCAGGAACATAAACATTTGTGAGAAAAAAAAAAAATCCAGATTATGTGGATATATTACTATATCTGAAGGTCTAGTGTTTTTTTTTTTTTTTTTAACAAACTTTTATTTTAAGGCAACAGAAGGTGGGTTTTTGATTTCTCACAGAGTTTAGTTCAGTTGTGACAACAAATTCATGTCAGGAGAAGATATGTTGGGGGAAAAAAGCTACAATGACCTGCTTGCAAAAGGGGCCACCCCGTTAAATCAATCCCTTTTTGAAGCACTCAGTTTTAGTGTTTAATTCTAAAAAGAAGAGATGCAACATCAGTTATAGTAAAGTCTAAATTTAATTTCCAATCTCTTGGAATTTTTTTTAATCTTAAATCTAAAGCCACAGTTAACTGGGAGGTTACACATGATTTAAAGGTTTCACCGAAAAGAAAATTGTAAAAAAAAAATACTCTTTAGAATCGTTTATAGCAGGCTCTGACTGGTAATCTGGTACACTGGGTATGTGCCCGGTGGGCAGGTCCTAATTTCAGGGTGCGAGGCCTGGCCCTTCTTAAATCATACTGGCCCCAACACATACTCTCCGGTCAAAGCACCTACCTGTGACAGTAAATAACTCAAGGAGCTCAAAAAGTAATACAATGTTAACTACTGTATGTAAATGATGCATGCAGTATATATATAGCCCTTCCTTGTCATGCACATCCTGGTTTATTTTTCTGTTTCTTCAAACTGTAAAATCCTATTTCTTCAAACTGTAATGATCTTGGTTCTGTTGCTGTGAAAACATTTATTATTAAGAAAATGTTCAGATCATGATTCAGTAAAATGGGTCTGAAAAGGGCCTTTTCCTCCTCAGTTTCTTGCTGGCTTGACATTGAACAGCACTTTTACACCCATGCTGTGCAACAGCCACCAATGGTCTGTTCAAACATACCTCATCTCTCTTCTGAGAAGCAGCGGAGGGCTGAGGAAAGAGGTGTCCCCCAAGGGACCCATATCCCGATATCTGCACCTTGGACAGAAGGTTTGGCTTTCCACATGGGGTTACATTCTCATCTATTTTGGAAAAAGAAACGTCTCATATGTAAAGTGCTGACTAAGAACAGAAACCTGCCATCAAAGGAAAGATTTATTATTAAGCATCACAAAAATACTTAAACAAACCTACACAACAGGTTGCTATATCTGGCATTTTACGATGTTATTCATCTCACTGGGTAATGCCTTTTTTACCTTGTGATAACCACTTGTCAAGTCCTTCCCTTGGGGGTGAGAAATCTTCTCCTTTCTTTGGAATAGTAGGTAAGTCATTTCCCTCTCTTGTTCCTCTATCTGTTGGTCTGCGACTCAAAGTGTCCACAAAGAGCTGCGGGGAGTCGTCTGTGGCAGGAGGGGTCGGCGGAGGGGGAAGGTCTGGGCGCGATTCATCAGTGATAATTAAAAACACACACAAAGACAATTTTATCTTAAAAGGATTATTTTGACATTTTGGGAAATGTGCTTTCTTCCTATGAGCTCGATGAGCAGATATCACTCTTGTTTCTGACCTGCTTAATTAATGTTTCTTAAACTTCATCACTACATTTGCTTTAAAAACAATACACATAAAACTACATAAAACCCACAACATCAGTTAGTGACAAGCACTGTAATGTTAAACTGTTGTGTATTTATATATTATAAATGTCATAAGTGTTATTGAATTAAAGGATATTGAGGTATAAATTGATGCTGAATTATTGTCCGCCTCAACATAAACCCGAAGATTCTGACTTTGTGAGCTCCTTGATTCCGCCCTCGCTCAGACAGCGAAGGAGCCACTGTCAGCCCTACAGTGAGATTAAGCCTGAAACAGATGGATTTACCTCCACCTATTCCTCACAACATGCGCTTAACCAAAATATTGCAAACCAAAGAAAACACATAATGATTTAAAACAACATAACTGAGCTTTGAGGAACATTCAAGGAGAAAAAAATAAATAAATTTACGCATAGATATCTTTTCTGCACTAAATATTATTCTATTTTTTGCTATTTCTTCTACAAATATGCCTACATTGTTCATTTGAAACATGATTTGCACATGCATAAAGGCTCAAACACATAATTTTGAGCAGCTGCTCATTTTACACGCACAGTACGATTTGCACCTGCTTTTAAGATCTGTTTGCAATTGTTTTATTATTCACAAACCTTTTGAAGATCAAGCCCATAGAGTGCTGGGAAAATGTTTAATTTGTCTCATCAATTAAAAAGCTCCTTCTTTCCTGATTGCCTGAAGTTTATTGTTGTTTACTGTTAATGGAACCTCTTGAGGATATCTTTCACCACGTCCATCTTCCATAACACCAAATTTGTGAAGAGTATGATTGTTATGTAATTGTCCTTCATTGTCTTCAATAGTTACTATACAGTACAGGGGCGGATTTAGAAAATTTGGGGCCCTAGGTAAAGGGAGGCATGGGGTCCTTTGAATTGAGAAGACAACTCATAATACAGATCCATTATAGTGATACAGAAATTTTAATAGATTAGACAAACATTATTTAATCAAATTCGTCAGCCCATAATGATGATTTTAAGATAATAAAATTATATTATTTCTAGGGAAAATAACAGTTGAAGATATCTTTAATCACATTTTGGAGAGTCAAAATGTATATTGTAAAGAAAATGATATTTTAGTTAATTTGGACTAGTCAAAACTATATTTTTTTAATATCCGAATTATCAAATATCTTCATAGTGCTGTCACTGAGCTACCCTAACAGTTGCCTGCAGAATTTTGCGTGGCTGCAATGGTGCAGGCTCTTCTGACAAAGTTGTTTCAAAATGCTACAATATAGAAAGAACTCAGCAGTAAAGGATGTGTGGAGAACAAGAACTTTGTGAACTCTAAGACTGCTTCAGAAATCTGTCATGAATTGCGGTGGGGAAGTTAGTTGGAAGCTGGAGATTCAAGCTTCGCTGAGTTAGAGGGACCCATCTTACCGTCAATCCGATTTAGGAGCTCAGGCTTTGGCCAGATGTTCTCTGTTACTCCCTCTTCTTACCACGGTGGTTCTTTAAGGGACCATCAACAAATTTCCGAACTAAGCACTCTTGAGAAATAAGAATAAATCCCTTGTCTCATGACCAACTGAAACAAAGGGAAATATTTTGCAACTTGATTACATAAATCAAAGTTTAAAGGTTCTCTCCCTTTCTGTGCTGCAGCGCAGCGTGCATTTACCCTGCCTGCATTAATCATGACAGCAGACAAGAGAAAGATGAGCAGGAGGCGGGGTTAAAAATCTACTCTCTCTGGAGAGCAGAGTTCAACGCTTTTATATGTTGTCGCCAAAGTCTCCAGTAACAGAAAAAAGTTGCTAGAATTGGCACTAGGCTCTTTTTTTGAAATAAAAGCCTTAAAGGGTCTGAAAAGTCGCTAAACATAGACAAAAAAGAATTAAGATGGTGATACAGCTCTTTGCACCATTTGTCTTCAAATGGTTTGCAGCTGTCTGTTTGTTTAGACCTTTCTGCACATGCACAGCAAATGGACTGAGCCAATGTGGTGGACAATGAAGGGGGGGGGGCAGAGACATGGCATTTTAACGAAAGGATTTTTATGAAAAACATAATTAATGAGCACAAATAAGTAAAAGCTGTATTAACCATACATGTAAAAGGAGTTTTATGGGGCCCCCAGGAACTTGGGGCCCTAGGCGGCTGCCTATTTTTACGTAATGGTAAATCCGCCCCTGCTACTATGAGCCTCTTGGCTTCTTATCTGATAAAGTGCTCTCCTTACCTGGCCTGTCAACCTCAATGGACACTTGCTTAGAAAATAGATTAAAACAGCCTTTCTGGAGTATTTAATACAGTTTTATAACCTAACCATGCTTTAAACTTCTCTTCATTCCTGAGCCTAAATTTATTCAAGTTTTGCTGAGCTCCCTGGTAATCATGAGGCTGTTTGTTTCCTGGTGTTCTCCAGACAATTTATGCTTTTTCAATTAAAATTATTGATTAAATAGATTAAAATTACACCGATGAGCCACTGAGAGAAAATGTAGTAATAGGAGTAATGCTTACACATTCTGGGAATAGTCTAGAGGTGACTAATGTACCTGTTTGTTTAACTGAAGCAGAAGTGACAAGTGTGGCTCAGGGTGTACCTGCTGTGCCTCCGTGCTTCTCTCTCCGGTTTTGTCCATCCTTTGGCACTTTCTTCTTACTCCTGGATCTGTGAGCAGGAGCTGCAGGGCTGGAATCTGCAGCCAAAGCAGGAGATTGTCCTGACAAGAAAGCATGCTGACGTCATCTTTAGGAAACTTACACAAAAGGAAAAAAACTATGAATAAATACAACATGATATCTATGTACAAATATTTTCTGCTGAGAAACATCAGAAAATAGATTGTTTGTGACACTCTATGGCCCTATAAGTGGAATCTTAAAATATAAGCTATTCAAATGAATTCAAACTGACCTTTGCTGAGGCCTTCTCCCCTGAATTTATCCACCCACTGGTTGGAGTTGTATACATCACTGCCTTCCAGTGCCTTGGTGTTGGTAAATAGGTTAGGGTTGGACTGGAACTCGTGGTGGCGGACCAAAAGATCAAAATGCTGAAGGCGTGGACTGTCGCTGGACTTCAGTGCATCGTGCTGAGGGGAAATTATTAGTTCTTCTGATTTACAGGGCAGGCTAGATACTTCCTCCCTGGAAGCATCCATCAGGTAGGTTCTGGCAGGAAGTGGAGGACACCAGTCATCATCCTCCTCCTCGGAGCTAAAGGTTGAGTAGTGAATAAGATCAGGGTAAGGACATTCCTTTTTACACAAACACAGCTTGTCGCATATACTTTTAAACACATGATGGAATTCCAATATGATGTTTGAGGCTTCAAAGTATTTACCTAAACTATTGTTAAACCTCTGGCCACGATTCCTGTCTGTTGGGTCTTCCAGATTCTGCTTTTAAATAACATTTCTCCTGACTTCCCTTTTCTCAATAAATGAATTAGTAAATTCTCACATTGGAGAAACAAATTTATCTATTATTGCTTTGTGGTTATGTTATGCACAGGATGGGGGTCCTTACATTACATCACATCGCTATTCTGTAACCATTTGAATAAATAGAACCATTGTAACTTGGAAGCAATTAAGGTGATGACGTTAAGGATTTTTTCTGAACAGAAATTAAAAAGCAATGATGGAGGACAGGCATCAAAATGACAATTTAACCTACATTAGGAAAAGAGTCTTAAATCTGTAAAGATTTCCATAGTAAAACATGTTTTTTTTTGTTTGGTTTTTTTTTTTAAAATGAATAATGTAGCAGATTCCTGCTGTTTCCACAGAACATGCAGGCTGCAGATTCCCTTCAAAGCTATAGCCAGATGTAATTCAAATAGTGTCCTTAGGCTGAGCCACAGAGGAGAAGCTGTTTGTGACCTGCAAATACATGCAAGCAAACTATACAAGGAGTTTGACCTTCAGAATCCACAGAAGATTATTCTTTGGCATATTTCTGTATTCTGTAGGTGCATGGGAGATCTAAATAATCCTGATCCCTCTTCCAATGTAATCTTTCCTTAAATTTTGTTTTTTTTTTCATATGCCATAGCTGAACTAAAGGAAATGAGAGTTTTAACTTTCTTATAATTAACTACTTAAAATCAATTTGTATAGTGATTTTTTTAAACTATGGCTGAATATTTTAACCAGCTTCAATGCAATCCAAAACGTGAGTTAGAGCATCCAAAGGAGTCACAAATAATAATAATAAAAAAATCACTGATTATTAAGAGATATTTTTTTTTTAGTTCCAAAAAAGATTGGAGTTAATAAAAATATGAAGACGAGATCCACCTCCATGATTCCTGCTGTCATCTCAGCCCCATCAGGGCTGTTTAATGACGGACGTGTCATTGAAAATGGAAAGTACTAATTCAGCCTGTCAGACAGAGGCTAAAGTCATTATAAAAGACACGGCACAGTCAGAACAGCCTCTCTGATCCCACCCCGTTATGTCCGCAATCTAATGTGTCAGAACCAGTTAGACTAGACGCTCCCCTTTACCGCCTCAAAGCGCAATCAGCTCGCTGCCTAAAGACACACAAGTGTTAATTTGCAAACTCCCCAGTCCATCAAACTTCCCTTAAGTTTGGCTTGACAGCCTTGGCAGTGTTATAGGGCAGCTTTGATACCCAGTAGCCTTAACTCCATCTGTCAGGGATTTGGAGCCAAAGGCCTTCTCAACTATAATAAAAGAGCCTGGATGAAGAGAAGCAGCAAGAGCTGAATGTTCCTGGAGTACAAAGAGTCTGGAATATCCTGTATTTATGAATTTTACCTGTGCTGCACCTCTTCATTGTCTGATTTTGCACGACTTCTTTCTTTGTTTGGAGGAAGAGGCAGTGATAAAACATCCACCCAGGTGAGCGGAGCTGACTTGGACAAGGATCCAGCAGATGGTTGTAGTGCCAGTTTGTCTGAAAGAAAACAAATGTCACAGCCATTGATAAACTTAGTTATAACTAATAACTTAGTTATAACTAATAACACAAGGTTTGATTATTTGTAATATCTCTTTCTCAGGTTGATGGATGATTTATTTATCAACCATCTCTGCCTTTAATATTAAGCAATATAGTAGAATCATTTTTGTAGATACTTTCTTCATTTATAGCTTTACAGACATATCTGGAAAAAATAAAACAACAAGGTTAGGTTTAGGGGTAGCTATGTACTGGTAATAGGTTTAAGGATTAGAGTATGAGGTAGCCCATAGTAATGAATAAAACATAAAAAGAAATCAATGCCTATTCCCCATAATGGTAGCCTAATGTTTGCGTGTATTTCTCTGTGCATTGCACCACATGAATCTTTTCGATAAAAGAGATAACTTGGGAGAAAAATATTCTTATTAATATTTTTCCAGATTCAAGGTCAGTCCCAAAGAGCTGTAATCTCTGAGTGTGTATGGATGAGAAGTATGATGAATCTCTTAGGTCCTGTGACAGGTCTTTGCAGAACTTTCTGTTTTTAAATCGCTTCAGCTTACCTTGCCATTTGCTTTCGTTTTGCCTCATTTACTTCCTGCCTCACCTCTTAAGGTTTCAGACTGCTGACTAACATAAGTGTGGTAAAAGCAGTAAATATCTATAGAAATTTTTAAAATAAAATATATGAACTATTAATTGAAGTATTAATTAAAAATGTTGCATATTATAAAATCTACATCATTAACTTATTCTAAAGGGATGCCAGAAACCAGACACGCTGACAGCCTTAGATGGGCCAGGCACAAAATAGTTGAATATGGCCCCCACCTTTGACGCTCATATCTCATTGAACAAAACACAAAGAACGCTAATTATCTTTAAATGTTTTCCAAATTTGACATTTTAGAAAAAACGATTATTGAATATGCAAACTTGGTGTTCCGAGATAAAAAGAAGCAATGGTAATATAATACCTACTTTGTATCCGTCCACTATCACAGAACAGTACACAGTCTTTTTGTCCTGGATTTGACCCACATCAAAATTGAATTAGAAAAAATTGTAAAAAGGGTCACAGAATTTTTTTTTCTAAATAGACTGAATTCATTTTGTCCTCTTCCAGATAAACTGACCACGCAAAGGACTTAGCATGAGGCACATTTCACAACTCAGCCTCTATAGCATGTATGCACTCATACACTGATTGGTAGACAGCTCAGTGTTAGTGTTATAACCAGGACAACATCCACATGTGACAGAAAGAAGCCATAATAGAGGCTTCCATTTTCTGGTTGAAGATGACTTCTCTTCCCTTTCCATTTTTTCTGCAATTGTATTTTCAAAGAAATTGTATAAAATATCAGGGGTTTAAAAAAAAAATTAAATGTTACATGTTTTAACCAATCAGATGGTTGAATAACCAAAGTACTTGGATTAGAAACAATAAATGTGTTTTTGTACTTGTTATTTATCCAATAATTTAGGAGAAAATGGCTTTTTGAATCCGCCTCATCTGTTCCTGTTTGGCTATGACACCACCCTGGAGAGAAATATCAGCTGTTCTGCTGCCATCAACACCTTTGTTTATTGATGCTTGCCAGTTTTTCCAGTGTAGTCCTGTTTCTCTGACTGTGACTGACTGGATGTGCTCTCTTCAGCCTCTGACATGGGAGTTCAGAGCCATCAGAGCTCGTCTGCCTGGCTGTGTGTTTCCTGGACGGGGCCGCCTTTTTACTGTTGTGACTACTATCTCTGCTTCTGTCTCCTTGAACCCCAGTCGGCCTCAGCAGGTGGCGGCTCACACTGAGCCTGGTTCTGCTGGAGGTTTCTTCCTGTTAAAAGGGAGTTTTTCCTCTCCACTGTCGCTACTAGTATGCTTAGTGTGAGGGATTGCATCCAAGTTAATGAGTAGATGCAATTAACTGGTCTTCCTTAGATTGAAAACTTTGAATCATGTTGACTGTATGATCTGGTGAACTGTAAAGTGCCTTGAGATGATGTGTTGTGAATTGGTGCTATATAAAGAAACTGAATTGAATTGATTTAAGAAGGAGGTTTATTTGATCAATTATACAGTTTTCAATTAAAATCTTATAAATTTACATTATTTAATTACAGACCCTGTGATTAACTTAAAAAAATATTTTAATCTTGTCCCACCACTACTTTAACTAGTCCTCTAATATATATATTTTAGGATTATATATATATATATATATATATGTACATATTTAAAACAGGCATTGTCAAAAAAAACAACATCCCTACATATAATAAATGCCTTGGATTGTCCCAAAGTATAAGCTTTATCGTTACTGATATGTTCATTAACAACAATACAAAATTCAATGACACAATTCTGTAAAGATGAGAAAGCCAACTTTATCACATAGAGGTGAACACTGCACTTTTTAGGTACTTAGTTTTTTTCTGATCAGGAATTTTTGTATAACAAGGTAAAACTTTTATTCATTATCTAAGAATTTGTAAGGAGGAAAATGCTCACCGTTGCTTTTCTTAGCATACTGAAGTTTGGCATATTCTGACCCAGACTGGCCGGACTGACTGGTCCACCGGTCTAAGTCCTGCTCCAGACCCATATTTCCAGCCTTTGACAGAACTGGGTTGCTGCTGTAGGGGTCTGGACCCTGTTTATATGACAGGCTGGAGTAGGTGTCATAGTAAGCCAGCAGGTCGTCCTCAACTGCTGTGTTGATGGTGCTGTAAATGGGGCTGTCGTTGGACTCAGTGCTGCGCTTCTCTGTCTGGCTGGGGTAGTTGATGATCCCGACGGCTGGAAAGAAGAGTTTCTGTGAGGCATTATCAGCCACAACCAATATATTTTATGCTCTCACTGGATATTTCACTCCATATTCAAACTACACATGCTCTTACAGTTATAATATCTTTCTGAGTCCAGTTTTCCAGAGCAGCAATTGACAAAGTCTTTGCTGTGAGTAAGGTTAGGAGTGGGCCAGGAGTCTGCCAGCCAGGGGTAATTACCCATACCTGGCCCCAACAAGCTGGGCCTTGAGGAAAAGAGAGGTGAGAATTTATCAGTTCTGTTTCCATTAAACCCATAGTGGCTATTATCATGTGAATCAAACCTTAAAGAAGAGTTTACCCTCCATTGATTCCAGATCCTTCACTGTGAGCAAAGCCAACTGCAACAAGGAAAACAAGTGCTAAGATATATAACTTGTTTGACACAGGAGAAAAGAAACCTTTCGCCTTCAAACAACTTTTTTTCTTCCTTTAAGAATCCAAAGAAAACAAAAACATTTAGCCTTGAGTTGTTATTCTCCATAAAACAATCAAATATAAGCAGGTTTGAATTAATTTAAATGAAAATACGCTTTTGATCTCCATACCCAAACACATGCAGACAAATGATCTATATACATTAAAGTATGCCTGCAAGAAAATGCAGCTGCAACAGTCAAAGCCATGCAAACTGACATTATCAGAAGATAATCTGAATCACAATAATACAACAGTTGCATAAAATCATTCTACATGAGCTTCACTGAACGCCTGAAGTACTGAACAAATGATATATTTTTACCCAAACACCCCAAGCCTTTGTTCTAAATCTGCACTTCTGTGTTTTGAACTTAAGTTGTGCAAACTAGGAAGCTTGGATAAATACATTTAAATGAACTGTGTATGAGATTAAAGTGCAGGATTTGTTTTGCAAAACAAATCAAATTTAAAGCATTTATCACTGCTAAAGATGTCCCCTAGAGGTTCATTCGGAAGTTTGTCACTGTCACTGGTTGAAAAACAAAATGTGAAGCTTTTTTCATTAACAGCTGATTTCCTTTTCTCCATATCTCATCCCACATATTGGATGTGACAACTTGGAGTGAATCAAAGCTCTAAGGCATGTCAGGGTAATTCATTCGCCAGCAGTACAAGTTGACCAAAACAGAACGTTATCAGCTCCTCACCTGCTGGTGTGTATGCAAAGGATGTGGTGTAGTGTCCTAGCTGCTTCCTTCTGTGGTGTCGGCAGTATAGCCATCCGCTGAAGCCCATGAACACCAGCCAGGCAGCTACACCCAGCCCTGCCATGAAGGCTGGCAGCTGGATGAAGCTGGCGATCTGCTCTGCTATGCTCAGATCACTGTCTTTCTTCACCTCCACTGGTTGGCCTGCAAGACAAACAGACAAGGTCAAACTGCAGTTTGATAAGTCAACAGTAGTTTGTTTTGTTTTTTTTGTTTTTTTTGTTTAAGACTGGATTTATACACATTCTTGGATTATATTTTCGAATAGACAGGGAGTTTTTACTGACTTGACGGAGTACAACGTTGACTCCATCCATCCATCCATCCATCCGGAAACGTTACATTCTAAATTTCACATTTAGATGTGTCCTAATGGGTCAATTTCTAAGTTCTTTTCATTTTGAGGATACAGAAAATACAAACATGTGTCTAATGGTGTGGCTTTGACGTTATAGAAGCCTCGAGACAGAACAGTTGGAGGAAGTTTTCTCTCTGCTGACAGACATTTGCTCAGATGTAGCAAACAAGACCTTAAACCGAATAAATGTTGAACAAAATCTGCCTCCTGATTCCAGTTTGATGTGTTGGTCATCGGTATCAAAAACAAACCAATTACTCCTAAAAGTTGCAGACAACTATCTAAATTAGTTTTAGGAGCAGACCTTGAGCTGAAAATCAATCTTCAGAATGTCTCAATCAATTCTTTAAGTTCCTTCAAACTTGGTATAATGTACCACAATGCCTTAAAGAACCTCCCTAAACAACTAAATACAAGCTTATATATACTGAGATCTATCATCTATCTAGTTAGTTAGAGGTACCAGTGTTTTAATTTCCCTATGTGAAAAAATTTTAGTTTTGTTTCACATTGCTAAGTTAAATAAATAAATGTATTAATTAATTAATGAAAAATATTTGATCTGCCACAGTAGTGGTGTTCCAGGTGAATGTATCAGCAGATATTGGGGGCAGAAGCATTCTAGTTAGCAATTTGACATAAAAAGGTAAAACATTAGAAAATAGTTTTTTAGGTTAATAAATAAAACCTATTTATTCTACCAGCCTATTTTCTATCATATGCTTCTCTTTTTCAGTGAATTTGCATTCAATCAAAAAGTGCATTCAGTGTCTCTCTATATGTTACACCTAGTGCAATAACTATATATCTAAATATAAATATCCATCTATATAAATATCCATGCAAACACCCCTGCTAGTATCCTGCTATAAAAAAAAGCTGTCATATATGGATGCACTGTATAAACTGTATACATCCCATGCACCTTTTTCTTCCTTTGGCACCTTCTGCTTCTCCTTTGACTATTTTGAGCTAATACAATGAGTCGACCAATCAATGATTTCATTTAAGTTATAAAAAAATGACAAACACATTATTGAGATGAATGAAACACAGATTGGTATATGTTAAATGTTTATTTCTGCTGATATTGACTATAAAGTTTTACAGCTACTGAGAACCCAACATTCAGCTCATAAAACTTCGAAAATGTATATAACACAGATAAGTGATTTTAGAAATTTATCTAGCTAAAAATCAAATCATTGCACTAAAGTAAGCAGTCTTATATATGGTCATCTGTTTTAAAAATAATGTATATTTTGGAAATAAACTGGAGCTTGACTTTACACTTCAAGTTTACATATTTTTACATTAATATTTTAATGTGTGATTTAAACTTTTAAAACTGTATTACTGAGAAATCAAGTATTCCTAATTTAATAAAATGGACCCAAGTGAGAAATTTAAAATGTTTTTAAAAGTAAAGATATTTACAACCTTCAACTGCTACTGTCATAGTTTTGTACCATCATTGTCTTTTTTATTCTTGGCAGTGGAAGCTGCAGAATCAGTGTGTCTAAGCTAAACTGGACATATTTTTCCCTGATGGTTTCTGTGACTATTTACGTCCCTGTAAAAGGTCAGCCCCCTCTACTGAAATCCACTTAGAATACACAAAACAGAGACTGGAAATGATGTTGCATCCCGTCACACTACAGCTGGAAGAAGATCTGGGTTTCTATAAAACTAATAAAGATGGAGGAGTGGCTCCATATCAGAGATTAATCATGAAAATGTTTGGTGGAGGTTATAAAACCCTAAAGTCCTTCCTTTTTCATTCACTCTCAAAGGCTTGCTTTACCTTTCTGTTTAGTAGAGGTACAACAAAATTGAAGGGATGGACAGAGCATTGTTTTATTAAATTAATAATTTATTCAATATAAAATAAAATAAAATGTAACTGCTGTAGAAAAAGGCATTAAAATATGAGGAAAAGTTTTGCTTTGTGGAGATTTTGTAATGGAATATTATCTCCATCACAGCTTTACAACAATAAGGCTGAATTTGTTTTACTGCTATGGTGAACACTAAATTTTAAACTGCTGAGTCAAGGATAAATTCTAGATGTGATTCTACTTACAAACTCCATGAAAATGACTCAGCCTTTAGTTCTTTATCATGGACATTCACAGCATCCTCTAATGCTTTTGACAAGCATGATATAAGACATTTTAAAGCCTTAATTCACATTTTGTTCAAGTGATGTGGTCTCATACTGACAGAAAATCTATTGTTTAATTTGGGTATTTTTATCGACAGCAGAAAAAATAAGAAATATCTGTTTTGACCAAAAACACATCCGCCATATTAATTGGCTCCCCTGCTGTTTATAGCAATATTCTTTGCACAAGTTCTATAGATCCCTCCTGGGTTTATTTCCACTATACTGTAGGATATCACACCAAAAACATCAACAGAAAACATATTGCTTGTATCTATTAGTAAGTACTGATTCTTCAATAGCTTTAGATTAAGTATTTATATTTTGTTCTGTGAGGTTATTATAATTAAAGAGAAGATTCATATTTTCATGGTTTATCATTGAAGCATTGTAATTTAGCTGACTTTATAAAGACAAAAAACATTTATTCAGGATTTTATCACGCGTACCGACCAACAAAGCCACAAATTCAGATTTCTGCACACTTCCTACTCACCCCTACAACACTGACAGAGGATGCTGTACATGACAGGCAGGCAGCTAGACAGATAAATGACAGCTGGATGGAAAGGTAGGGAGCAAAAATATGATTTTATAGGCAAATGCAAATTGCTCAAATACATCTTAAACAATGGTTATAACTCCCAAAGTTACAAGTTAGATTTCATGGCAGGTTTTGCCGACTAACTGAAACATTAAACTTCCTGGGAAAAGAAGTAATGTAAAAAAAAGAATTAAAGCAATTTAACTTAAAAACTGTCTTGGCAGCTTGTCAAAAAGAGCTATAATAAGTTACACCATAGCAGTATTGTATTCTGAGCTTTCATATAAATTAATATTAAATTGATTTCAGGGTTAGGAGCAAAATTGTTCAATTTTAAAGTTCTTTGGTTTATTTTTCACAGGAAAAATAGTTTATGGAACTTGCTTTGTTTTTTGTTTTTTTATAGACAGACATATCAGAGAACTATTGTATGCTTATTAGGCAGAAATCAAAATAAAAAAAAAGGAAACTGAAAGACTTTGTACCCAACTTCAATGTAAAACCATATATGAATATTTTAAATAATGTTTTATTCATACAGACTTGTTCTCTCTTTGAGTTAACAATTAGATACATAAATAATATTGGAAGTTAAATGGGTTATATGTGTGACCTAAAAAACTAAGTTACAATATACTTATTTAAAAAATGATAATATAAAATCTAATTAGTTTAAAAACAAATCTATGAGAGGGAAAAACATAAAGAAAGGTTATGCAAACCACAAAGCACTTTTTACATGTCTTCATAATTCAGTCTTCTTTATTTAAACCCAACATTAGTTACAAGGAATCTAATTAATCTGAGATGACAGTTTTCGCAGGTACTGGAATGCTCAATACCTACAAGAAACACCCAGAGCTGCCCCACATCTACATTAATTTGCTTTACTTGCCAACAGTTTTTTAGTTAAAAAAGAAGAAAAGTTTGGAAATAAAAAAGAAAATACTCTTACATCTTTGACATATTCATACTCCAAAGAAAATTATCGCTCATCACCTTGTTTTTAATTCACTTTGAGAAGACTTTTCCCCCTCAGCCTGCTGGGAATACATCCTGACATATTTTCTAAACTGCTACAGCAGAGGCTGTAACAGTTTGAATGACTCACTGAGAAACAGGCTGACAGGCGGACTCAGAGCGCCCACACCCAGACTGGTGACAGCAGCCACCACCACCGTGTACTGGACGTCAGGCAGCAGACCCGTCAGCAGTATGGACAGAACGGACCCATCCACGGTTCGGTTTATCTGACTCACCGCATCGCTGGGCAAACACCAGACCTGATAAGAAAAACAGATGAGCCAAGGTTAATGATTGATCCCTCAAACAAGACAACAAGCTTTAAGTGTGACCACTTAGAATAAAAGATCAGGACTTTTAACCTGAGCTTGTCGTACTGTCAAAGATAAATCAAGAATAAAAGATGGATCTCTCAGTGAATTGTCCCTGAAAATGAAGACAGGATGATACAACGGCAAACCTACCAAGATATGGTTGTTAATCTAAACTGACAAGGACAAGGATGGCTTTATTCTGGGAAGCAGTCAGAAGACTCATCATCATAACTCTAGAGGAGCTGCAGAGATCCACAACGCAGGCAGGAGAATCAGGACACATAATAATAATGCCCACCATCTGGCCTTAGTGGATGAGTCTCAAAAAGAAACCTAAATAAAATAATTCTACTGCATATTTACTAAACACCTTTTTGTGTAACAGCAAACTTGTGGTAGAAGATTTTCTGATCAGATAAAGACCAAACTGTAACTTGTAGACCTGCATGCAAAATGATGCTCACACTTACATCTCAATTGTGAAACCTGTTGCTAAACCGAGAAGATGGTCAGCATTGATGGTGATATGATTGGAGATATACAATCTGGAAGTGAGCCTGTTTGAAGCCTCAAAAGACT